CGGGGGTTCGAGACGCGGGGAGTTGGGGGAGGAACAAGCTGAGGCTAAAGAAAGGGCTGGACGCGAGATTGCCTGGGGGAGGGGATTGGGAGGAATGGGAACCCGAGGGAGTAGAATAATGGGGGGGGGGGCTGGGTTGGGTTGGGGAGGGGTCTTGGAAGTGGGGAGGCAGTCAAGCTTTGGGATAGATTGTAAGGCTGGAGAGGAAGCTTCAAGTTGGCGACTGGGATGGGCGTCCAGGCAGAGAACCTGAAGGGAACAGTTTTGAGGAGGGTTGTCCGGGGAGCGCTGTGGAAAGGCTTTAGTGGTCAGGGTTGTGTGAGAGTCTGGAGGTTCCAAAGGAGAGGCAACCGTGGATGCTAGGGGTTGGGTCCTCTGAGTGGATTCTGGGCAGGAAGGCAAGATGAGGCGGTGGGCGGCAGAAATCAATGAGAGTGTAGGCTAGGCTCCAGGACTGAGGGTGGGGCGGGGAGCGTGAGTTAGGGACTGTATGTAAAGATGCTTGCCTCATCCAGCCAGACTCCTGGTTAACTGGACAGTTAGGCAATTGTTATGCTAATATGGCCAGAAAGGACTATAGAGGCCACCGACACTCTCACAGTCTCTGGGATTTAGACGCGTGTAATGGTTTATCTGTATGGACATTTTAGCATTCTGATCTCTTATTCTGCCCTTCCTTTGTGACCTAGGCCAGCCTCAGTGTCCTTACCTGTACTAGGAGGACAACAAGCAGGCCACTGACAGAGTTAAAGGGAAGCTTCTTACTGTTGGTGGGAGACTTAAGTCTTAAGTCTCAGTGCTGTTGGTGGGAAGTTCCTCGTGCCAGGAATGTGTCTGGGTTACAGCTGCTAATGGGTTTTCTCCTCTTCAGTGTAGCCCCAGAGGCATTTTCCTAAAACCTGGCACTGATGTGGGCACACCCCAGCTCCGAAGCATGCAGGGGCTCCCCACAGTCTGATCCAGCTAACACTTAACTGTTTTATGAAATGCTTGGCTGTATTTTTAGCTGCTCGTCAGCTCATTTGATTTTTGACAACACTCCTAAGACATAGATGCTTAATCTTAGAGAAACAAAGCAGGCACAGAGAGGCTAAGCAATTTTTCCAAGGTCAGCCAGCATTACATGATAGATTCAGGATTCTAATTCATGCTGCAGCCTTGAACTCACGGCAATCCTCTGCCTCAGTCTCCCAAATAATGGCAATACAAGCCCTCTTCACCTGTTAAATGGGACACCAGGTATGGTGGCGCACACCAACAACCCCAGCACTCAGAGGCTGAGGCAGAAGAATCATTGTGAGTTTGAGACCAGCCTGGGCTACAAAGTGAGCTCAAAGCCAGCCTAAACTGCACAGGGAAACTCTGTCTCAAAAAACAAAAACAACACCCAAACAAACAAAGAATAAGTACTCACTACACATGTGTTTTGTTTTGTTTTGTTTTGTTAATATGAATAGAAAACAGAGTGGACACAGCAGGTAATAGGAAAGACTGTTGCTTTTCTTTCTCAAGCTCCCCCATTTCCTGACCTAAGGTCTTTTCTTTTTGCAGAGCCAGGGCTTGAACTCAGGTCCTTGTGCTTGTCAGGGAAGTGCTTATTCCACTGAGCCATCTCCCCAGCCTTCCTGACCTAAGTCAGCCTTCCTACCCCTATTCCTTGTCTCCCAAGTCCAAAAGTGACTGACTCCTGGAGAGGGTGCTCCAAAACTCTGTCCCTGTTTCCATTCCTGTCCCCAGCCAAATATAAATAATTCATTTGCCAATCCCTAGTTTGGCCCCAGTTCCAGATTTTTCAATGAATGATAAATATTTCTATCAACTTGAGTTTTGTTTTTTTCCCCTTTTTAGCCTTTTGGTCACTGGAGCCTCATGGGACAGTTTGATAACTGTAATTCACCTTGATTGATTTGCCATGAACCTTCTGCGATTTATAAATTTAGTGGCCCTGATAGTAAAGCTTGTTTTTTTGTTTTTTTGATTTTTTTGAGACAGGGTCTTGCTGTACAGTTTAGTGTGGCCTTGAACACACTATGGAGCCTGGGCTGGCCTCAAATTCAGGCATTCCTCGTGTCTCTGCCTTCTGACTGCTGGGGTAGCAGATGTATGCCACCGCACCTGCCTGAAGTTTATGGTGACAAGCACTTGTGTCACGTTGGCCAACGTTCACATCCTCACCCCTGTTGGCATGTGCCTTTGGCTAAGCTGAATACCCACGCCGGGCCTCAGTTTTTTCATTTGTAAAATTGCACCACGTCCAATCCATGAAGCTGGGTCTCGTAAGATGATAAATTATATAAAATGCTTCATTTGTGTTAAGCTCTTGTTAAGTATGAGGTCCTTCTTTGATGTTTATTCTTCCCCCAAAATTGTTTTAATCACAAGCTCTGGTGCTAGATTTGAATCCTGGCTCCATCTGTCACCGGCCATGTGACCTTGACTCGCCTGGACCTCGGTGTCCTCATCTGGAATGCGGGGATTCACTTGTTTATAGTGCACAAGTGTTATGGGAGTGCCTCCTACATACCAGGGCCAGGATGGGGTACAACTGGCCCTGGACCTCTGGGAGTTTGCTGTTGTCATAGTACCAGGACAGTTTTGCAGCTGTGGTAGCCTTGTGCGCATTTTTGGGGTTTGGGTTTCTCTATTCCTCATCGATTTGCAGCACTGTATGCCAGCTTTGCCCGCTTGTCATTGCTTTTTTAGATCTTTAATAGTTACTATTTCCCCCGCAGGTGGGGGGGTGACTGTCAAAACCAGGGCTTTAAGCTCCTTCGGCAAGTGCTCCACTAGTGAACTGGATCCCCAGCTCCAGCTGACTGACTGCTTCATTGTGGAACTAGGTGAATCCAGGATCTTCACAATGAGCTATATCCCTAAACTTACTTTTTTTTTTTTTTTTTTTTTTGCAGAACTGGGGATTGAACTCAGGTCCTTGGGCTTGCCAGGGAAGTGCTTATTCAACTGAGCCATCTCCCCAGCCCCTCTAAATTTTTTTTAAAAAAATTTTTATTTTTTTTTATTTTGAGACAGGGTTTTGCTAAGTCACTCAGTTGCCAGGGTGGGCTAAGACTTGCAGTCCTCCTGCCTCAGCCTCCCAGAGTGTGAGTGAGCACACTGGGCCTCATGGATTGTTAATATTCTCTCACCAGCCTTTGTTGAATTATCTGAAAACTCACTGGTCTGGGAGAAAATTGCCTCACTTGTTTCAGCCTGTTCTTGTCTGAAGCTTATTCATACAGAATGATCTTTTTACCATTTTTAATGGTGTATTTCTAACAAACCCAACAGTAACAAAAGAATGGCCCTAAACTGGGCATGGTGACACACGCTTAGGATCATAAATCCTAGCTCAGCCTGGATGACCGTGTCTCAAAATAAAAAACAAAAAACATTGGGGATGTAGCTCAGTGCAGAGGTCCTGGGTTCTATCCCCAGTACAGAAAAAAGAAAAGAAGAATAGAATCTCCTTGGGATAGATTTCACTTAAGGGTGTGAAATAAGAAAGAGGCTTTTGGCTGTCAGTGATTTTCAAACGTTTCATAGGGGGCTGGGGAGATAGCTCAGTAGAATAAGCGCTTGCCTGGCAAGTGCAAGGGCCTGAGTTCAATCCCCCGTTCCAAAAAAAAAAAAAACACCCCACAAACCCCTTCATAATCGCACTGTTTCTTCATTACCCCAGCATCTGAATAGCAAGCTCTCCTTGTAACCAGGCTGGCACCCTGTACTCTCCCTGGCTATAAAAGCTCAGCTACCCCATGGGTGGATGCTGTCAGTTCCATTTCATTTGTGGTGCTGGGGATGCAACCCAGGACCTTGTGTGTGCTAGCAAGTGCTCTAGTATAGAGCTACAGCCCTGACCTCACCTCCATTTTACAGGGCAGGAAACTGAGGCACGGCTGCCCGTGGCCACATCTCCTGAAATAGGAAAGCTGAGATCCGGTTGGTCTTGTCTACTTTTAGGATCTCCAAATCCTGAGGGCCAGGGCGGCTCCCATCCTCAGGGAGCTATGAGTCAAGGAAGTAGAGATAGAAAGGCCAGCAGACCCTGCAGACAGAAAGCCAGTGGAGAGGTATGCATGGGCCTGGACTGCAGACAGAGGGGCAGCGGGGCTGGGGGAGAGAGTGAACAGGAACAGCTGGGCTTGGCGGTGCGCACCTGTAATCCTGCACTCAGGAGGCTGAGGCAGGAGGATCTCCAAGAGTTCAAGACCAACCAGGGCTGCATAGTGAGACCCTGTCTCAAAAAGTTAAAAAAAAAAAAAAAAAAAAAAAAAAAAAAAAAAAAAAAAAGAAAGAACAAATGAACACACTGGACCCAGAAGGACCACAGCACTAATACCTATCCACCAGCTCCTTTTCGTTGTTGCTCCTGCCACCAGTTCTTGTGTGATTAGAAAAGTGCACTCCCAGCGCACCTGCTCTCCGCGCTGCCTGTGCTGGTTCTGTGCAGTTTCTCCACCATCATTGAACTTCTTAGGTTCATGCTTAGCTTTTTTTTTTTTTTTCTTCTTTTTTGTCTGTTTTCTGTACAGCCCAGACTGGTCTCAAACTTGTACTGATCCTCCTGCCTCAACCTCCCCCAAGTGCTGGAATAACCAGGGTGTGCCATCTCACCCGGCTTTGTTTTGTTTTTGTTTTGAAACAGAATTTTACTATGTAGCTCAGGCTGGCCTTGAACTCCCATGAAGCCCAGGCTGGTCTTGAACTTTAGGCCATCTTCCTGCCTCAGCCTCCCAAGTACTGGGAATGTTATAGGCATGTGCTACCACGCCCAGCTCTTTCTTCATTTTGGTGAAGCAATTGCTCCAGCTACTTTGTAAAAAAAGGTTCATGGGACATACATTGTTTTGAGCATTTGCGTATTTGCACGTCTTCAGAGAATGCTTGAAGCTGGGACGTGATAGATTTGAAGTAATCCAGCTAGTGTGTGGAAAGATCCCTCAGGCTACCATGTTGAAAGGACGTCTCAGGAGAGCTAAATCAGCTGGCGAACCAGGGAACAGCTGTGGTTGTGGGGTGAGGTCTTAGCTGCCTGGAATTGACAGGCCAGTTAGGAGAGGGGCTTCACCACTGAGCTCACTGCCATTTAGCATGTGTTATAAGAGGAAGCCTCAGGAGGGGGACATCACCTAGAGCTTGGGGAGGTTCTAGGAGAGCTTCCTAGAGGCGGTGGCATCCTGTCCTGGGACAGGATTTCCCCTGGGGATGCTGGCCAGAGCAGAAGCTGGGCAGGATGGCTGGTAGGAGTTCCTTTATTCATTTTTTTCTTTCCTTTATTCCTTCAAACAGATGTGTGTTTCACACCTGAGCCATGCTGGGGCATTGCTTATCAACAAGTGGCTTGGAGAGCTTGTTCTAGTGATCTGTAAGACTTGGCAGCCCTGGGTTGGGACTAAGAGTCTGTGCGTCGGTGTCCGCCAACTCCCAGGGAAGGCCGTGTGGCCACTGCCCAGGTGCTCGGTGCTCACTGTTCTGGAAGCTGGCGAAGCAGGGGGCAAAAGTGGTGGCACTGAGCCGTCTTCATTTTACTAAGGAGAGATAGTGTGTCCACTAAACAAAAATTTTAGTATATTTGATAGTGATGTGCTAAGGAGAAAATTGAGTCAGGGAAAAGGAATGAGCATGTGTGTGTCTTTGGGGAGGAGGAGCTGTGGTTTTAAGTCAAAGGATTCACAGAGTTGGTAAGATGAGGAGGAGCATTGTAGGCAGGGGTAGAAGCCTCAAAGATGGGCTGTTTCTCAGGTGTTCCATGCCTCGGTTTCCCACCTTTGACACCACTGAGATGCAGGAACACCCACAATTTAAAGGGGAGAAGATTATTTTGGTCAGAGTTGGAGAGATTTCAGTCCCTCATCGGCTGGCCCCGAGGCAGGACTGTGTGGCCAAGGAGAATTGCTCAAGGCTGAGCAGGCAGGAAGCCTAGAGACTGCTCCAGGGCGCGGGGAGAGAGCGGCTGCCAGGCCACGCCCCTAGGCGCCACCTTCCTCAGGCCAGACTTTACCTCCCCAGTCACGCCGAGTGGAAGCTCTGAGCATCCCGGTAGCATGATCTGAGGCCCCACCCGTATGCACGTGGGGCTCGAGGGCCCATGGAGATGCAGACCGTAACAGCATGCCGTGAAAACTGGTGAGACGTGAGGATTCAATAGCGTAATCTTTGTGAAATGCTCAGAGCAGGGCCTGGCGCACAAGGAGTGCTCTGGTATTCACTGGTGTGATTAATGTATTCCTGTTGGTCACCATTGTTTACTTGAACGTCTTCCCCCTTTCCCTTCATCTCTTTCTGGTGAGCTCAGTGTCACCTATGCCTCCCCAGCACCCAAGCCAGGAGCAGCTCACAGCCAGACCCCAGTGAATGTCTGAGACAAGTTTGCGCAAATGTTCTGTGTACGCTGAGGAGGTAAACAGGAGGATTCTGTAACCATTGGGGGCATTCCATAAGGGCGCAGCTTGTGTGGCTTGGATCCTTACTAATTTTATTTTATCATGAAATCTATTCTGAGAGATGTTACAATTACATTACAATTCTCTTTTGTCACTTGATAGGCTTAGGGCTGTCATGTGCATTGGTGATTGCTTTCGGATTTATGTTGTTTTGAGACTTGTATTAGGATCATGCATTCTAAGAACTTGTATATAGTGGATCAGTTAGTTTTGTAACCATCTTTGTCAGGTTTTGTTGGTTTTTTCAGTTTATTTTGGTTTACTTGAACTCACTACATAGTCCATGATGGCTCTGAATCCTCCTGCCTCAGCCTCCCAGGTGCAGGGATTACAAATGTGTTCCACCACATGCTGCTTTATTGCTGTTGTTAATGATACTATTGCTGCTGGACTTGTCTCTTGTCTCCATTTGCTTGGTGAGTCTTTTTCCATCGTTTTGTCTTCTGGGTGGTGATGTGTTAGAGCCGACCTTGCCTCCTCCTCTTCACAAACCAGAGACAGATTTATCCTCAGTGACCTGGGGGACCGACAGGGCTGGGATGAAGGGATGGGGCGGTGTCGTTCCCCTCGCAGGCAGGTAGTGACCAGAAGGGAGCTCAGGGAAGCCTCCCCATATAAAGTTACACTTAAGCAAACACCTGAAATAAGGAGCCAGGTCGCTGGAGCTCTCGGGGAATGCTTTGTAGTCTGCAGGAACAGCAAATGCCGACCAAGGAAGGGCGGAATTTGGTGACTTTCAGAAATAGATCGCAAAGAGCCCAGGGTGGAGCCTGCGCCAGCCTGAGGGGTGAGCTTCCTGGAGGAGAGGGTGCTGAAGAGCAAGCCTAGGGAATATAAAGGGAAGCGGCGAAGCAGTACAGGTAGTGGCCGGATCAGATTCCCTGGCTTCATACCCTGCTCCAACTTGCGTCGGTTCTTCATGACCTTGGGCTGGTTTCAGTTGCTTCATCCATGCTATGGAGATGATTCTGAGGATTAGACAAGGCCTGCGTTTTCTCACTACTCCGTGTGCCAGGTCAGGTGCTCACCAGGCTGCACAGGGCTGGGAGGGGGAGGTTGACTGGGGATGAAGGAGGGAGTGGGCAGGGATAAGGGGGGTGCGGCAGGGCAGCTACCTGGGCTGCTTCCTGAGGGCATTGGGGAGCCATGGAAGGCTGTAAGCAGGGAACCGGGAATATTTACGGATTGGTCCCTTTAGGAGATCTGCAGGCTGCCCTTGAAGCTGTCATGTGGGAGTCCAGCTGGAAGCAGGCCAGGTTGGGCCGGGAGTTGAAGATGGGAGACACCTGGGGAGAGGAGGGTCTGCACCGAAGCCCACCTGGCACACAAACATTGCATGCTCTGTGAATTTTAAATGAGCAAAATTAGAACTTGAAAGTCCTTATGGAGTTATTTCCTATTGTTTTCCTGTTTAGAGTCAGGGTCGGGTCACATGGCTCAAAAGAGGGAATAGATAGATCTCGTTACAAGGCCGGAGCCTTGAATGCCAGGGTTGGCGCTTTGGAGGCTCGGACTCAGTGTCATAGGGACTCTGCACATTTGGTTTTAAAGTGAGGTGAGTCTGGTGCCGTTTTTTTCCCAGGGGAAACCCTGGTTCTTCCGCGACTCCCACCCAGAGCTAGGTACTGTTGTTGACCCTCTTCTAGCTCTGCTTCCAAATCCGGAGTTCTCAATTCTAGGATCAACCCTGGTCCTTTAAATCTCGTCTGTCAATAAGGGCTCTTTTTTGAGGAACCGTCGAGTAATAAACCTTCCTTTACTTGCCATACTCTCCTCCCTAGTTGGATTTTCTCCGGTTAGCTGGATGTAGGGAATTGTTCCGCTCTCCCTAAATCTGGCGGCTTCCATTCTACCTCCCCCTCTCGCCTACTCCTCCCCTTTTCGAAGTTGGGCCCCTGCGCCAAGGGCTTCCTTATATGGGCACGGCCCCAATTGGAGGCTGCTGATTGGCTGAGAGCGTCACGCGCGCGTCTGTCAACAAAGGGGTGGGGCTTAGAAAGGCAGTCCTCCCGCCAGCCCGCGCACGTGGGGGCGGGCGCTCGTTCCTTTCTAGAGAGCATGCGTGTGCTTGGCTGCGGGTGAGGGCGCTTTGGGGGCGTGTCTAGATTTCGCGGGTCACCTGCGGGGTTTGGGAGATTTCTTTGAAGGGGCGGCTACAAAATTTGGGGGCTGTTTTTGCAATCAAGTGATATTTTGGATCTTGGGAAAGTTGCAGAGGTGTAGGGAACACTTGGGCTTCCCTAGAGCTTAAAGGGCGCCTAGGGGTTTGAGTTCTTTTGTAATGTGCGAGGTTTGGTTGTTTGGGGGGTTTCTTTTGTGGTTTGGAGGTTTGTTAGGTATAGGATCGGGGTCTCCTGGAGAGATTTAGAAGCAAGGAGCCGGAAATGGTGATGCTCGCCCGTAAACCCAGCATATTGGGAGGCTGAGTAGGAAGATAGAAAGTTCAAGCCCACGCTGGGCAGCCTGGCGATTTAGAGTGTTCCTGTCTAGGCGACAATAAAAAATGAAAAAGGTCGGGAGACCTAGCTGAGTGTAAAGGCCCCCAGGCCCGGGGAGGAAAGCAAGGAACCCAAGAGGGCCAGTTCTGAGCCAGTGTCTGAGCTCGTCTGTCTTGACTGTTCTACGTGTCTGACCCGCGAAGCGATTAACCTTTCTGCGACTCATCTGGAAGCAGAAATTTACTAACACTACCTGCATCCTAGGGACAGCAGTTGTTCAAAGAGTGCCCAAGTACACGCTGCACTAAGCACTTGTCTGCTGTTGTAACATTGGTGAGGTTTCTTTGGAGTCTCTTTTGGCTTTGAGAAGTACTTATTTGTTTTGGGATTCGTCTTAAATGTGAGGCAGCTTTTGTATATTAGTTATTCTGGAGGCTTTCTGTGGAAATAAGGGATGCATGGGGCTATTTTGGGGTGAGTGTATGAGTTAAAGACAGGCGTTTGTGAGGTTGGGAGATTGCTGTATTAGGATCTGTGAGAAGTCATTTCAAGTTGGGTTCTTTTGTGAGGGGGGAGGATGTATTTTCAGGTGTGGGTGTTTAAAGGACGATTTGAAGTCTGGATTTTGGGGGAGAGTTAAGATTCTGGAGATGAAGGAAGTGATTGGGTATTATGGGGGAGGTAAGGAGTCAGGATTGGGGCTCTTTTTGTAATCGATGTATGGGGCTCTTTTTGTTATTGATGTCTGTATTTGGAGGCTGTCTCAACTTTGAATGGTGTCAGATTATCTAGAATTGCCCACATTTAGAGGGACAGTTTATATATACTGCAAGAGTAGGCAAATTTTTCCCGTAAAGGGCCAGATAATGACTATTACAGGCTTTTCAGGCTGTGTACAGTCTGGTACAGCTCTGCTGTTGTGGCATGAAAGCAGACATAAATGTGTGTTTTGTAAAACTTTTATTTACGTGGATAATGAGTTAGGTTTGCTGAGCAGTCTGGTGCATAGGATTGTGGAAGGCTTGGGATTTGCAAGCTTTCCTTTTTGAGCTCTCTAGAAGGAGATACAGGGCAAGGGAAAAATTCAGACTGAGGCCTCTGCTACTTACTCAAAAGCATGGGGCAGAGTAGATATATCCGATGTATTACCAAAAAAGTTACTTCCAGATTAGGTCTTGCACATAAATAAAGTAACCATTTTCAAGAGGGTCCTGAATTGAAGACTCCAGAAACCAAGTTGGAGAAGCTGGCTTTGCTCCAGATCTTCTGTATCCTTAACTGTGTTAATTCTTCGCCATTCAGAGCCTCAGTTTACTGTAGTTCAGTGAAATTTCGGAGAACTTTTGCAAGGATGTAGTTTTCCTAGGTGAGAATGCACAGCTTTTACAAAATTCTCATGACCCCCCCCCCCAAAAAAAAGCCAGTTTACTCGTGTTTGTTGTTGGGTTTTTTTTGTTGTTGTTGTTTTGTTTTGTTTTTTCTCAGAACCAGGGATTGAACTCAGGCCCTTGAGCTTGCCAGGGAAGTGCTTATTCCACTGAGCCATCTCCCTGGCCCTAAAAAAAAAAGCTAGTTTTTAAAGGGCCTGACTCTGACTTCAGATTTTCTTTTCCTACCCAGCCCACCTATTTCTTCCCTCCCTTGGCTCATGCAGCCACTAGCTGTAGGCAGAGCTGGGAATTCCTGTTGGGTTTTTTTTTAGGAGCTTGTTACTCGGTGACAAAGAGGAGAGGGAGGAGCCTGTCTGTGGTTTGCCAGTGGGTACTGTCACTTAAGTTTAAAGGTCAGGCAGCAGGAAGTCCCAGAACTGCCAGCTAAGGCAGTAGGGCAGTGGCACGGGATCTGTGGGATCCGAGAAAGCAGCCAGCCCGTTAGGGTTACACTCTTCATTTAGAGATCCCATCAACATCCCTGGCTGCTCACCTGAGCAGTGGGAAAGGAGTAGAGATTGGTTTTGTTTTTGTTTCTGTGTTTGTGGTGCTGAATGGAAGCAAGGGCCCTTTTTGTGCCAGGCGGGTGCTTATCACTGAGCCACACACCCCCAGCCCAGGATGGCTAGTGACCATCTAATTTGCTGTGTTCACTCCAAACAGATTGGGATAGGAGAGGAATCCTGGGAAGAAAGCCTATTTTTCCAGCTGTCAACTTTCTTTTTCTTGTCCCCAGGTGACATGTGGAGTCCCCTGCCATCCCACTCCTGAGGTCTGTTGACTCCTTGCCTGTTTGCTGTCACACCCAGAATGGACCGCAGCAGTCTCCTGCCTTTTCAGCTCTGGTGCCCCCGGCCCTTCGGCACCTACTCTCAGAACCAGACACGTCCACCTTCCGCTGTGCTCAAGCCATCAGCTTGCCCTGAGCCCGGCAGTGGGGCTGAGCCAGACCATGGGCCTGCACACTCAGAGAACACCCCGCCTGCTTTGGCCGATGCCCCTACCTCCCAGTCCACTCCGCTTCTCTCAGCTTCTGCAGCAGGTGATGAGGGTCGAGTCCTGCTAGACACGTGGTATGTTATCAAGCCCGGGAATACCAAGGAGAAGGTGGCCTTCTTCGTGGCGCACCAGTGCGGCGGAGGTAGCCGGGCCAGCTCCATGAAAGTTAAGGGGCACTGGGGCAGTGACAGCTCCAAGGCTAAGCGGAGGAGGCGCTGTCTTGAACCCACCAGGGCTCCTCCAGACCCAGGGGGCCAGGAGGGGTCCCCTGCTGCTGAAGGGGGCCCCACTTCAGCTGGGGAAGATGTAGACCTCCTCTCTGTAGCTGAGATGGTAGCCCTGGTGGAACAGAGGGCTGCCCTGGCCCTGCAGAGCTATCCACGCCCCGCCACCCCAGCACCTGTGGTTTTTGTGTCAGCTGAGCAGGGTGGGCCTGCCAAGGGGCTAGGGTCTGAGAGGCGTTCAGGTGCTGGTGACTGCAGCCGTGTGGCTGAGGCAGTGGCCCACTTCGAGGCCCAGCGGGACAACCCTCCAACTAAGGGCCTCCGCAAGGAGGAGCGGCCTGGGCCAGGTCCCGGTGAGGTACGCATTGCCTTCCGCATCTCCAATGGCCGGGAGCCCCGGGCACCAGATGGCAGCTTACCCAACGGAAACGGGGGCCGGCCTGGTTGCACCTACCCTGGCAGTCCTGGGCCTGGGGCCCGAGCCAAGGACAAGATCACCTGTGACTTATACCAGCTCATCAGCCCCTCCCGGGATGCCCTTCCCAGCAACGTGGAATTCCTGCTGGCTAGGGCAGATGAAGCTAGTGAGAGTGAGAGCCCAGCCCCTGCCAGGCCTGAGGACACTCCCCCGGCACCCCCGCCACCCCCTGCCCGGGACTGCGGAGCCTCAGGCTTTCATGTGGATGTGGTTGTGACTGGTGTAGTGGACGAGTGTGTCTTCTTTGGTAAGGATGGCACCAAGAACGTGAAGGAGGAGACAGTGTGCCTGACAGTGAGCCCCGAAGAGCCACCGCCACCTGGCCAGCTCTTCTTCCTCCAGTCCCGGGGGCCAGATGGGCCCCCTGAACCACCCCCAGCTGATGCACCAACCACAGTGCCCGGCCCAGATGATGCTGAGGGGACAGCAGACACCTCCTTGTGCCGCCTATACCGGCATGTATCGCATGACTTCTTGGAAATCCGCTTCAAAATCCAGCGGCTGTTGGAGCCGCGACAATATATGCTGCTGCTGCCCGAGCATGTGCTGGTCAAGATCTTCAGCTTTCTGCCCACACGGGCCCTGGCTGCCCTCAAGTGCACCTGCCACCACTTCAAGGGCATCATCGAGGCGTTCGGTGTGCGTGCTACAGACTCTCGCTGGAGCCGAGACCCACTCTACCGCGATGACCCTTGCAAGCAGTGCCGCAAGCGATATGAGAAGGGCGATGTGTCCTTGTGCCGCTGGCACCCCAAGCCCTACCACCACGACCTGCCTTACGGACGTTCCTACTGGATGTGCTGCCGCCGAGCTGATCGCGAGACACCGGGCTGCCGCCTGGGCCTGCACGATAACAACTGGGTGCTGCCCTGCAACGGGCTGGGTGGGAGCAGAGCAGGCCGGGAAGAGGGGAGGTGAAGCCGGGGATGGGAGGGGAGCCCACTGTGTCCGTCCCCTCCCCCTCCCTGGGAGCCAGGGTCTGGACTGGGCCACCAGCCCACAACCCCCCCAGTCCAGGCAGTGTTGACCCTCCCAACACCAGAACTGAGATCAGCTTTCTGGGGGATCCAAGAGGACACTCTGGTTGACCCATTGGTTTTCTACTCTTGACCCAGGGCCGGGAACCCTCAAGTAGGGTGTTTTTTATCAGCATCTCAATTTCTTCTCCATTCAGCCCCAGCACCCTCCCTGCAACTCTACACCCCAGGGACCCACCAGCAGGGAGCAGATGGCAGCTAATTTTGGTACCACCTAAGGCTTCCCCCCGCCTCGCTCCCCTTCTTTGCCTCTTCCCTCCCTGTAGCTCTTTGCGTCTGGAGCTGTTTGCGCACCCAGGTTGGTACCTCCACACCTCCCACCCCAGGGCTTACCTCTTGGAATTAGGAGCTATCTGATTACAGATCAAATTTGGCTCTTTCCCCTGGCAGCCTACCATTTCTAGACTTTCCCATTAGAGAAATAAAAATTACTTCTTTCTCTTTAACTACAAGCTACCAGTCTTTCCTCTTCCTTGACAAGGAAGGGGGGGAAAAAACCCTAAAGTATAGGCCCCGCCCCACCCCATTATTTAAGCTTTGCCAATGCTCCCCACCCAGTAAAGCTGTGAAGCCCTTTACCTTGCTCTCAACAGCAAGGAGGGCAGGGACTGTGGGTTTGAATTTCTAAGTGGTTTTTCCTTCCATTCTGTGTACTTGCTGAGGTGGGTTCTTTACCCAAAACCAACAGCAGGTTTCTTTATAGAACTTTTTGGTCAACTGGGACCTTGATTTTCAGGCAGTATGGTCTGGGGTATTTTTGTTTGTTCTGTTTGGGATTTGTTGTTTTTGTTTCTCCATCATTGTGGTTCTGGAAGATTCTAGCATGTGGCATCTGGCCAATTTTTGAATTGGTCCTTTCTATAAACTCAATATTTATAAGGCTGGGCCTAGACTGTTCTGTGTGTTGTGCAGGGAGGGAGGCTGGGAAGAAAAGAGCTAGGGCCTATGCACAGTAGGATGGAAAATGTACCAAAGGGATCTGTAGCCAAATTCCTCAGCCTAAGATTATTTTTGACTCTCTCATCTGTGCTGGTTTTGATTTGAAAATCTCAAAATAGTTGTGATTTAAACAAGATCATTTTTACTTCTTTAAAAATCCAGTGTTAAGCATGACAGGCTCAAGCCCCCAAACCTCTCTTCCCTCAACTGCTGTTCTTTCACTGTTGCCCTCATCATCATGGTCTGAGATGGCTGTGGGAATCCAGCCACCTCCTTTCTGCAGGCAGGGAAGCACCCTTCCTCCCTCTAGTACTGCACTATGTGTGCTTTCATACACACTTCACTGGTCAGTAGGTAGCTATACACAGCTGCAAAAATGGGAAGCTGGGAAATGGAGTCTTAGCTGGGTGCAGTGTGCCCAGCTAAAGTTCACTAATAAAGATCCCTGTAGGGGCCGAGGAGATGGCTCAGTGGAATAAGCGCTTCCCTGGCAAAAGCAAGGGCCTGAGTTCAGTCCCCAACTAAGAGGCCAGGGATATGGCTCAGCGTATAGTCCCTGCCTGGCAAAGCAAGCGGTCCCAAGTTCAATTCCTGGTATCAAATGAATCCCTGTAACTGAAATTTTAAAAGTTTTTTACTTGTTTTAGTAAATTAAAAAGGGGGCAACTAAGACATCTTTTAAGTGTAAAAGAAGAGTGGACATTGGTAAGACCGGACAATCTCTTACATTCTCATTAGAGAAGCAAATTCCAGTGGGTAGGGTATCAAAATATTCAGTGCTTCGATTTTAGGATCAAAGAGACCTAGATGGCCAGCGAGATAACTTTTACTGGTCTAAAGTGCCTGCTTAGGCAAGCTTAGGTAGGTTCAGGGGGCTGTGGTTCGATCCCTGGTACCACCACTCCAGCCCTGCTTTCAGGGCGGGCTGCACTGACCAAAAAAAAAAAAATCTTAAGAGACCTAGATGAATCTTGGTTTGGTTTTGTGAGACTTTGGTTTCTCATGAAAGGTAGGTTAGATCACTTGTGCTCTCCTGCTGAAAACAGCTAACAAAAGAAGTTTCCTTAAAAGCATCACGGATCTCCTGAAATATGTTAAGGACCCACCAGGCCAAGATTTTAAGGGACATAGAGCCACTTTGATTCTGAGAACATCTGCTGATTGGACAAACTTGAGTTTGCTCGTTGGCAGCACAATGGGGACAAAGCCACAGTCTCTCCACCATTGTAGGAATCCCAAAAGATTGAACTTAAGGATGATGGCTGCAGAGGGGAGCCCCAGGCCAAAGGAAAAATCAGCTCTGAGCATTAGTCCGGCCAGGCTCACAACCCATGTTAACTGAAGAGACTTTTTGCTGAGGTAAACTGGGCATGGAGCACACCTGTAATCTCGGCACTCGGGAGGCTGAGGCAGGTGGATCAGTGTGCATCCAAGGCCATCTGAGGCTCCACAGTGAGTTCAAATCTAGACTGAACTACATAGTAAGACCCTGTCTCAAAAAATAGAATCCCGTGTGTAATTTTTCAGACGAGTAGCTAATAGATATGCATGAAAGTAAAACCATCGGAGCAGGAAACAGCAGAAGTACCTCCCAATTTAGAACCACAAGGCTTCAGACAGTGGGACTCGGCCACAGATTGTAACACATTATCTTGAACTACTTATTATTTATTTGCAGTAGTAGGGACTTAACCCAGCCCCTCTTTGTTTTTTGGGGTTTTTTGGGGGGGGCACTCAGGATGTCTTCAGGGCAGGTTTGGTTTGGCTTGAGGATGAGGGGATCAAACCACAGCATCCCTTACTTTGTATTTTAAGACAAGGTTTACCAAATTGTTCAGGCCTGCTCAAATTTAGGAGCCTCCAGAGCACTACAATTACAGGTGTGTCCCAACATACCCAGCTAAGACTGTATTTAAATATTTTAAAAAGCTAAGCATAGTGGTATGCTTTTGTAATCCTAGCACTCTGGAAGCTAAGACAAGACAATCATAAGTTTGAGGGCAGCCTGTGCTACATAACAAATTCCTTTCTGGACTTTGTAGCAAGATCCATCTCAAAAAAAAAAAAAAAATTGTAGCCCAGTCTGGCATCCAACTCCTAGCAATCCTCCTCTTGCCTCAGCCTCCCAAGTATTACAATTCTAGCTTTACAGCTGTGTGCTACCACACCTAGCTGCATCCTATCACTAGATAGCAGGTAAGGAATTTTCCACTGCTCAAAAGCTTTTGGAGTTCGGAACACTTGATATTTGGGGATTAAGGATACTCAGCTTGTGTTAATCATTCCTCAAAAGACCAACGCATGAAACATTGATCGAGTGCTCGGCAGGGCTTCCAAATACACCTGTGGAGGGCTGGCACGAGATAGCTTAGTGGACTAAGCGCCTGCTTTGGCAAACTCAGGATAGGGTTCGATCCCCAGTTCTACAGGCCATACCGGGCCTGTCCCCAGAGTGCACTGAGCTGGACTAGTCTGGGTGTGGTGGCATACATGCCTGTAATCCCAGCGGTGGGCAGGCTGAAAACAGATCACTGGGAGTCTGACCTGCACAGTGAGACCCTGTACCAAACACATAAAACAAAACCAAATACACCTGTGCTGTCCGTGGAGGAAAGCTGCAGTTGGTCATGTACCAAGTGGAATGGGAGCTGTGGGGCCCGCTGGCTTTGGTCCCTGGGGAAATCCCTTGTCAGACAGCAGCCTCATTGTTAAAATGGATCTGCGGGGCCTTACTTGAGATTCAAGCCAAACATGTGATGCAAAAAACCATTTAAAAGCTAGCTAGTTCTAGCACTCGGGGAGGCAGAGGCAGGACAATTTCACATTTAAGTCCAGCCTCACCAACTCAGGAATGTAGGAAAAGCCAATCAAG